TAGTTAAAAAAATAATATTTATTACTCTTCTGATCATTATATCTAACTCTTTTTCTTTTCATTTAAAGTCTTCAAATTTCAGATAGCAAATCTAATCTTGATTTTAAACTTAAATTACTCCTACTTTTCACCACGATCAAGTTGTGGCGCGGCACATTGGGGTGACTTACTTGCAACCTTTGCTTATTTTTCATCCTAATGAGGCCAAGTTAAAGTGCATCATTTTTAAGGTGGCGTCTAAGCAAGCCTTTATCGACTTGCCAAAATCTTGCTAGGTTGTAGCGAGTAGCCTCTTGGGAACACCTAACACTAGTAAAATTTAATTATAGATTGATTTCATTAGTTTTGATTTAAGTTTTATCATTAGTTGACCTTAATATTGTTCATCTGAATTGGAACTGATAATGGCGGTTTTAAGGAAGCTCTTTTTTGTATATATATTTTTTTCTCATTGCCTTTTTTTTAGCTTTAAGAAAGCTCTTATCCGGTATTAGAATTCTTTCAGATGTCAGCTTTTATTTGTCTATCTGCAAGATTTTTCTTAAGCTAATATTGTCTGGTAAACTATAAAAGTTATATTGGTTAGGCTTTGCCATAGCCAATTATATAAAGATGGTAGGATTGTGTTAGGTCTGTTCCTGAACCGACCCATCCGGCCCCACATGGGCTGGCCTTAGTTTACAGGAGGCGGGTCAAACCGCCTCCCATGTTGCCGCCCAAGCAATAGGGGCTCACACCCTATTTGATTGCCGTCCATTAATAGTGGTGTCCACTATTTGAATTAATCTATTTGATTTAATTTATTTTTGGCAATAGGGTTAATCTATTTTTGATAAGGGGATTAATCTATTTGATTTAATCTATTTTTGGTTAGGGGGTTAATTTATTTGATTTAATCTATTTTTGGCAAGGGGGTGGGCGGCTAAGGCTATAAATATGCATGAGAGGGATGGGATAAGGCATGCTTGAATATTGTTTTCACTTGGAGTCTTTTGGGTGTCTTGGGCTCTAGACTTGGTGTCTAGATATTGGGAGAGAACGATCCTCTTGAATAGATGATCAATTGTATATTTTCTTATGTTTGCTTTGCTTTGAGTATTTAATAAAATCTATAGTTATTTTGGGTTTTTTCATTATCGTTCTTGTGTCTTCTCGCTGTTTTTACCAATTTCTTGTTAGGGTTGCTTGCAAACTCAAGTAAATCCGATAGGATTACTTGAGAACTCAAGTATTTCCTATCAGGTTGTTGATTTGGAATGAAGAAATCATGAAGAAGAGTAAAATGGACTAGGGAGATAAGATAAGGCTGTTTGATTGCTGTTTTCATATAACAGCCAAAATGTTGGTAGTGCTTAACCTAACAAAGTAAAATATACAATGGAAGATGTTTTCCATTGAGCTTATCAGGCTGCTGGATATCTTCAAAATATGATACAGAGACCTTCCAAGTAAGTGATCATTCGTGAATTACTAGATTAAGTGCTTCAGAAATATATTTTTTTTTCATTCTAGCATTAATAGCCATTATTATTTTTCTTCCTCGTCAATATGCTTTGGGTAAGCTGGTATTTTCACCTTTTTAGTCAACATGAACAATCTTTCCATGTCCTGTTTCTCTTCATCGATCATGAGCATTATCCTTCAGGCCATCATTCCTGTACTGCCATGACTGCCTTGATCCTTTCTTATTTGCAAGTGAAATTTTAGTTTGCGCAACTATTTATTTTTATTCTGAAGGGCTTGATTTCCCTATGCACTTAGTGCTTAATATTTAATTTTTATTCTATCTTTCAAAATTTCTCATTAAAAAAGTTTGATTAGGTCTGATTAGGAGTTACCTCTTAGCAAGTTTTGCTCTGTAAGTTTCATCTCCAATTAATTACTCTCATCATCTAGCTAAAGAAGATGCCAAGGCTCTATGGTCCTATGGCTTGGGAGAAATTATTCCCGTGTGGAGTCTGGACGATAAAGAACCGTCCGGATGAGAGTGTACACTGTGTATAAAAAAAATCAAATTATGTACAAAGTTATACTCAGTGCACACTCACATCCAAACGGTTCTTTACCATCCGGACTCCACACGGAATGATTTCTCATGACTTGGGGGGGTGTGGAACCCAGGCAAGAGTTTGAGCACACCAACTTGTAACTTCTAACAAATGCTGAAGAAGATGCCAAATTGTAAAGTTCGCATATGTTTAAGCTTGCTTAGTTGTTGAAGCTATGGAAATATGAATTGTGCTTCCTTCCTAGACGGCTTCAAAGCATAATTTAATGTTATCCTTCTGTTTCTAATTGGTGCAGTTGAAGTAAAAAAAGGCTAGGAAACAGCTCAACAAGAACAAATTCTTAATTTAAAACATGCGTTCTCAAAAGCATGAAAATTTAAAGTACAATGGCCTTATATGATATACGCTCTAAAATATCCACAAATTCAATTTAGTATGCGCTTCGATAAGGATTAATTGTGCAGTTTTTTAGTCATTTTATTCACCTAATGGTCTTACCTGCTTAGCACAGCTAGCATTTCTACTGTCCGGGGGATCATAAAATTGGAAACAAAACAAAGTCAAATAGAGTCACTGGAGCTGGATTACGGAAGCCACAGATACTGGCAGGCACATCTATGCTCTCATTAGTCTATTGTGATCTCTGTTCTTCTACAAGAGTCGGCTCCTAAAGGGGTTATCAGGCTGAATGATACGTAAGTGCATGCTTGCTTCCCTCAGTAATCCTTCCATTGCCAAGAAGCTTGAATAATAAATAATAGCATTCAAGTCTATGTAAGTTCTCACAAGATCATTTTCCAGCTGTAATTTTCATTGAAAGAAGTTAAGTTTAAAATTATTCATTTTTGGCAAACAAGACTCATGTTTCGTTTGGGATGACTTTTTTACTGCTTCTTAAAACAGCTTTTTAGTACAAAATTTTCGTGAACTCAAAATTTTTGTATTACAAAACTGCTTTAGAAAGCAAGGTGTCCCAAACAAAACCTCTATTTTTGTTAGAAATTCTAACAAAAATTGTTAGTTTATAACTACTATTTTTTGTTTGAAATTCACAATGAGAAATTCTTACTACAATTTTTGTTAGTTTATAACTACTCTTCCATTATTAGTGTTCTGTTTACTTGCCCCATAACCTTTTTTTAACACTAACATAATATTTTGTTAAGTATGAGGCAGATCAATTTCTTATTATGACTTCTTACTGTTGTTTGATGATTGTTCCAATTACTTTCAATGGACATGGATGGTCTCATCAACAGTTATTTTTATTTTTACTTAATGGATAAGATCAGGGTAAGAACGAATTGTCTCTCACATCAACAAAGGAGTAGAAATCTGGGTGGAGACCTTCAAGAAAAACATCTCACTGTAATTCCAAATATTTGACATGCATAAATAATAGCTTAGTTGTCCTTGATCTTAGATGCTCAGTCTTTTCCATCAACTAAACATATTTTTCAATTGAATGCTCTATTGCACAATGGAAGTGACAATATTGACGTGGTACTATAATGAGTTAGAAATAATTAATTTCATAGTGTGATAATGGTGCTCTTTATTGTCCAACTTCCTTTAAGAGTTAGATAACTTAAGCATGAAGTTCTTCCGGTCTTCCTATATGATCCTCCTAAGTGAAGCATAGGTTGCCGTCATCGCTTAGATTGTAATGTCCATGATTGAGAGATTGATTGTCAATCATTGAAAAAGTATTTGTACTATGTTGGGAATGGTTCCTACTAAAGGCGTCAAAATATTATGTATTAGAAACTTTGCGATGATAGATACAGAATATATGTTTACTGTCAACGCTAACATAATTTAAAGTTATAAGGATATTGAGAATTTTTACATGAAAGTCTAAAAAAGGGAAAAAATTGTGAGGTTTGATCTAGTTGATATAACCCTTTATATAGTTTAAGATACAAGAGTCACTATTCCTCACTATTGAGGAAGATGAGATGACACGGTTAAGAATAATTATATGATTTTCGTTGTAAATATTATCGAAGAAATAATAAAGGGCGATGACAATTACATAATGTTAGTCGAGAAATGATAATATGACAAATGTATGGTGTCTACGGTTGGACAACATAAGTCAAATGATAGGGTCAGATGCTAAGTAGTTGGTCAATGATGATTGGATGGCAACAGTTGATGGCGATTATTGGCAAGGCAATATACTTCTTTTGATCTCTTAGCTCAAAAGTTCTCTCATATAAAAATAAAATTTTATTTAGAGCTTTTTTGAGAGGGTTATTCGAGTAATTTAGTTATAAACTATTTATTTAACATTTGAGTACCTTAATGATGGTAGAATTGAATAATTTTAGTTTTGCCTTTTATTTAGTTTAGTTAGTTTTATCGGAAAGTTTAGTTATATTATAAGTTTTAAAAATTAGAATTCACATGATCTTGAATATATCTTCAAAAATATCTAATTCAAATATTAACTAAGATTCTTGTTGATAAGTAAATTTTTTGGAGATTTATCACTTATATTTTGCTATCATTAAATAAATTTGAGTAAAAGTGAAAAAAAAAATGTTTGAGAAAAATTTTAACTAAAATTTGGTAGAATGAAAGTTAAAATTTTTAAAATAACTTTGAAATAAATGAAATACATAAAATAAGTCATTATTAATATATTACATTATAAATTTTGAAAAAAATAAAATCAACTTAAATCAAATTTCACTTTCCAAAATTTTATCCATAGGGATTGTTTGGTTGGTTATTATTATTGGCATAGAAAAAAAATAAAAGTATTGATTATTATTTTATTTTATTTTATTTGTTGGTGTTTCATTTAAAGTAAATTAAATGCAAAGCATTTATATGGAGCTTTTTGGAATGCTTCTATATATCTATTTTTATGAATTTAGAATTCATTGAAATCCGATAGAAATCAATATGATCTAATTTGAAAAATTGGATTAATAAATAATAAATTATAAATATATGAGTCGATTTTATTGATGCAACCATCGACGATCGGATCCACAGCTCTCACATTCTTCCCTAAAATTTCTCCATTGCGTTGTACCTAATAAATTTTTCGGTTTTTCCTTCGGTGGTCAAGCCTGGTTTTTATTGTTTCCCGGGGTCAAACAATTTCATTAATATTTTGCTTCCACTCGCCTCACCGTTTCCCCTTTCCTCTTCGAGCCGGCGAGATCGTCCCGCCGTGGCGGCGCAGCTAAGAAGAAGAAGAAGGAAGTGATCTCCCTTTTCGTCCCCGGAACGAGAGAAATCGCAACTGATATGAGAGAGAATTCGATAGCCCACATGCCGCTACTTCGATCCCTGTGAAAACCTAATTCTCTGATAACCATGGCATCGCCGTCGTCCTCCATGAACCCACCGTCTCCCGCGCTCAAGACTTACTTCAAGTCTCCCGAGGGCAGATACAAGCTTCAGTACGAGAAAACTCACCCTGCTGGCCTTCTTCATTACTCTCACGGAAAATCGGTGTCTCAGGTGGGATTAGGGCTATGATTATGTGCTCTTATTAGTAATCTTGAAGGTTCTGATTTCGAATATGGTTTTTTATAGTTGATCATCGCATATCTCAAGGAGAAGTCAGCTTCCCAGGGGCCAAGCGCGCCTTCGACACCGAGCTCCAGCAGCGTGGTGAAATCGGCAGCGGCACGGCTTTTTGTTGGTGTTAATGGCAGCAAGACATTCTCTTATGGTGGCACAAACGGTGGGAGCAAGGTAGCATCTGGCACTAGCAAGTTCGGAGGGACTTTCGGAGCAGGATCGAGCAGTTCTCCTGTAGCTTCCAATTATGATGGCAAAGGGGCTTACTTAATCTTTAATGCTGGTGACACGTTATTCATCAGTGATCTCAATTCTTCAGACAAGGTTTATATATATATTTTTCTCAATTTAATTTATGCACTTTGTTTGCTAGAATCTCTGTGATACCATCTTCCACTTGATGAATTTTTTACAGGATCCGATCAAGGCCATTCATTTTAGCAGCTCGAACCCTCTGTGCCATTCATTTGATTCTGAAGCGAAGGATGGGCATGACTTGCTTATTGGGCTTCAGTCTGGAGACAGTGAGTTCAGATACCATGTTTTCAATATATGGTTGTCCATTTTTTATTTTTTATTTTAAATTTATATTCATTTTAAATAACTGAAATTTTGTTAAAATGTTTACAATGTTTGTATGCAATTCAAGTCTACACAGTGTCGTTAAGGCAACAACTACAGGATCTTGGTAAGAAGCTCGTGGGAGCTCAACATTACAATAAAGATGGCACAATCAATAGCAGGCATGCATTTCCTTCATTAAATCACTAGATGAAGTAATATATAGCTGAGGATACACTGAAATATTTATATTTACGTTAGAAAATTGGAGATTTATTTACTCGTTGGATTATTGAATTGGTGTGAAAATTTTCATCTTTGCATTATCAATACATTTTTCTTATTTGCCGCCATGCTCATATGTGAATCTTGTCATCTGAAATTGCAGTAAAAGGTATCAAATGGAATTTTCCCCCTCTGAGGTTATGTTTTCCAATGCAATGCTGTATGGGAATTGGGCAATTTTGACTGAGAAAGCTCTTTGCTTGCAGTAATCAAGTTGCCTTGTTTGGATTGTCAACTTGATTGGAAGTTGAATTATTCACTCTAATAGGATTGCTTGACAGGGAAGAGCTTAACTCTACCAAATAAAACTAAATGGAAATTCGGGTTCCAGAATTGCCATTATTACTGTGCAAGGGATTAGCTAGAGATTGTGAAATTTGATGTTTAACTAATTATAGTTTTATAGTTCCTTGATTGATATAGATTTAGGTGCAACACAATTGCTTCTGTTGTTGAGTGAGAATTGTACCTGAAATTTAATGTTGGGCTAATACTGCATGGTGTTGTGAAAGGTCTTCATCATGCTTCACTAAATTATGGCAGTTTGGATGAAAATTTAAGCAAAATTTTCACATTTTGCATTGTTTTAATGTCCTCCCTTGCGCTATATTTTATTTAAAACATTACTAGCTGTGATACCGTGTGTAGTGTGTGTTCACATGAATGGGAGGTGGAAAGTAAATATTTGCATTCATTTGTTTTGTATTATTATTGCTCAACTTCTTGTGTTAATATGGCATTAATATTGATCGTCACATTATTTTTCTAATTGTCATGTGGATAAATTTTACTGTCTGCAGTCGATGCACTTGCGTTGCTTGGGTACCAGATGGCGATGGCATTTTTGTTGTTGCTCATGCTGATGGAAACCTTTATGTCTATGAGAAAGTGGGTCATATTTGGAAGAACTATCTATTATGATTTTTTTAAAATAATTTAATGTGAGCTAATTACACATTTCTCTCTATCTAGAGCAAGGACGGGGCTGTTGACCCATCCTTTCCTGCTATCAAAGATCCAACTCAATTTACTGTTGCTCATGCACGGTCCAGTAGGGTAAGTTTGTTGGGTGTTTTCTCTATGTTAATAATTGCATATAGGCACATTCAATGTTTTTAAAATCAAATTAATTTTTGTGCATCTTGTTCCATTCCATTAATGTGAAAGGAATGTGATGGAAGGTCTCCAAAAATATTTTGTCTAAGTTGTCAATTAATGCCAAATCCTGCTTCAAGAAGTATAATTTTGAAGAAAGATTTTGAAAGGAAGCCTTAGGTTGTTAGATTTGAGGTTAATGATGAGGAACTCTGTAAGGTTTCAATCAAATTATTATTACATATTTGTTGAACGAGGAATAAAGAAGGATTGTCATAGGTGGGATGTTGATTATGTGGTTCATTGATGCAAGCAAGAAATTAGGAAAATACCCAATTTTTGCAAGAAAAAATAACACACTTTCTAGGTCACAAAAAAGATACTAAGACACTCTTGAAATAACAAAAAAATAGCAATTTTATAACATAAAAGGACACTTACAAACTTTTAAAACATAAACTCCTAAAACTGCATTTACATCGCTTGAGAAGAAAGATACAGGTGGAGTCGAACTTGCGGAGAAAAGGAGATAAGAAGTCCGGGACGACGGGAGGAGAAGCTCGCAAGCTTTCTGATACACCCTAGATTTCACCAATTTGTCTTTGCCCTAATTATTCTCTCAAGAGAAGAATTTGTCCACCAAATGCAAATAAAACATTCACAAGAGAAATGAGATGTAGGACAAGAACATTCGCATTGAAATCCAAAGATAAAACAAGATAAGTTGTCCACTTTGAGAAGGACAAGATCTCCCACAATAAACCCTAAAAAACAAGAGAAAACTAGAAAGAGACTTTTCTTTGCAAGATCCCCCAAAAAATGAACCCTTATCCCCCTTTCATACCACCACAACATCCCAACACATCCCTAAATTACCCCTCCCAATCCACCCTCCATCTCCCCTAAGGATGCCCCCCCCCCACCCCCCCCCCCCCCCCCCCAAAGGATGCCCCCCCCCCCCTCCTTAGCCGTTGGATCAAAAGGTGGGCCCATGGGCCCATGGCTGCCTCACCTGCTTCCTTCGGGAACGCACGCCCGCCCCCTCTCCGTCTGTAGACCCGCGTGGGTCTGGGCGGATGGACCAGGTGAACCGGTCCATCCAAAGCCGGTCCATCACTTTCCTAGATGAAGACGAAGAGAAGTGGAACAAGCTCGCAAGCTTTTCCAAGGATAAAAAAAAAAACCTCAGGCTTTTGGCTCCAAAAATTGCATCATAACATCCTTTTTAACATTACAAAACATCACCAATTTATAGAAGAAAATGGGGCAGCCAAGGGGTCCTTTTATCTTCATTTAATCCCATAAAAATATGGAATATAGAAGGCTAGAATAATTTCCAGAACAGCACCCAAAAAGTTAACACAGTAACCAGGTAAAGCAGCCACGGGAAAGCAACCAGGGGATAACCGAAGGGAGCAGCCAGGGGGAACGGAACAACCACCACAGGGAACTGGGTAAAGCAGCCAAGGCAGGATAAACCGAAGGTACACAGGGAAGGGGAAAGGAATAGGCAGCCAAGGGGAGAAGAACCAAAATGGGAAAACCGAAGAGCCAAAAGCAATGGGGAATGAATCAAATAATGACACTTTATGAGCTGAATAATAAGAAGAAGCTCATTAATGAGCTGACTTTAGTAGAAGCTAATTAATGAGCTGACTTTAGTAGAAGCTCATAAAATTTTCAACTTAACTTATTTTGACCCCTCCCCCTTGCCTACATCATTCATGAAGATGAACTACCTAAGATTTGATTGAGTTATAAGCAGGAATTTCTAGCAAGAGAAATAAAGAAATTTGATGGAAAGTGAGATCCATCTGTTGGTGTTGAAAAACATTTAGAAAAAAATATAATTAATTATTGTCATTCGAGCATAAAACAAAATGGTTCTTCTCTATAAGATGAAAGTATTAGTTTTTAGCAAGCTTATGTTGTAAAAGATGCATTGATATTGTGATTTATTTCATCAAACATTTAGGGGCTATTTGGTAGCAAGCTTTATGCAAGATCTAGGCAAGATTTATGCCAAATAGTAGAAACGACCATTTTAAATCCTACAGAATCTTAAATCCCATTTCTCCTTTGTTTTGACTTAAATATTGGATTTAGTAAATCTTGGGTGGATTTAATAAAACTGCAAGTCTCACGAACTCTTTTTCTTTACATGTAATTGCTTTTGTTAATGTTTTATCCAACAAGTTTCCGCCGTAGCTTCCTAGCTTCTTTGTAATCACAATTTGGGAATTTGTGGAGGAAGACAAGGGTTTCATATATATATATATATGAATTTATCATGTTTATTTGATTTATGAACTACTAACTAATGATTAATTATGATATTAACCAAAGCTAAATGTAATTTAATTAATTACTAAATATAGAATTGAAGAAAACTTTTATTAATTAACATTATTAAAATTCAATAAAAAATATATTTATACACACACAAACACATAATGTCATGGCATGATGTAATTGAGCAAAATCTGAATAGGCTGTAACTAGGAGTGCAAGCAAAATGAGTTGAGTTAAGTTCTTGTTTAATCGAGCCAAGCTCATTTAATTTATACTTAATTTGAACTTGCTCATTTGATGAGCTTGAGTTCTTCTCGAGTGAAAAATATGAGGCTTGAGATCGACTTGAATGATCAAGCTCAATAAGAAAGCTCGAGCTTAATTTGTTTTGGAGCTCGAATTTTTATTTTAATAATGGACAAGAAACAAGTAATTAAGCTAATATAAATGTCGACGTTTCAATAAATATTAATCAAGTTGACTAGTCGAACCAGGCCATACTCGAGCTCGAGCTAGTATAGTATATGAGCTCAAATTTAAGCTCGACTTGCAAGCTTGTTAGGGAGTCGAGTTCGAGCCAACCTGGTTCACTTACACCCCTAGCTATAGCTTCACAATCATCCATCAATTGCGTTGATAGAAATGAGAAAAAACAAAATAAGGATGTCAATTTTTAGACAATGGTGTTCAGAAAATATTAATATACATATGTGCGTGTGTTTTAATCAAGCAAATAAATTAATCTTAATAATTAATATGATATAATAAAAATTTATTATCTTAAGTTAATTAATATTATTATTTAATTTAATTTATATAAATATAAGTTGTTATTCAATTAGTTTAATAAATCACTAATAAATTATTCAATGTTTAATTAGATTAGGTTTGATTTAATTGTCTATTTAGTTACAAGTAATATAAATATAATAAGATATCTCAATCATATAAATCCTTAAATCCTGAGATAAGTAGCTAAAATAGTTTACTTGGATTTAATGCATATTATACCAAGTTTTTGGGATTTAACCCTCATAGGATTTAATAAATTTGGACTTACTAAATCCAAATTGCAACCAAACTGGCCTTTATATTTATAAGGATTTGATGAATTCTGCTTCAAATGTCACTCTAATCATATCTTTTGCCTGCATGTTTTGCGTTAATTTTTCTTTTTTGCGGTTTGGGGGTTGTTTTGTCGCTTGTCGAAAATGTTTGTGCTCTTTTCATTTATTCATCTAAAAAATTTCCTCATTTGTTCTTGATTTCCTTGAACTTGATCACAGAGCAATCCAACTATCAGATGGCATATTTGCCAGGGTTCAATTAATAGTATGTCATTCTCAATAGATGGCACATATTTAGCGACTGTTGGTAGAGATGGTATGAATTTGAATTGATACAAATTCCCCTTATTCTATTTTTCATTTTTTTTCAATATCTACCACTTTCATTTTCATCTTATTCTTTTAGGTTATTTAAGAGTATTTGACTACTACAAAGAGAGATTATTTTGTGGTGGAAAAAGTTATTATGGTGCGTTGCTTTGCTGTGCCTGGAGGTAATAGCATTCCATATTCTTTCTCTTGTTAAATATATTTCAATGACATTCAAGGATTTTGATATCATATGATCATGTTTATTTGGATCATTTGCGGAACAAGAATTTGCATCTTATCTTATCAGATGTTTTATAAACCATATATGCTACTTCATTCGATGAGAAAGCTGTATATGAGGTTGGGTCTAATACTTTACCATTTTTAAGTGCAATTGTTTTGTATTTACCCCAAAATTAGGGTTAATCTTGCTTGCCTAAATACACCTAGGACATAATTGACCAAGTTAGGACCTTTATCCTCAAATTTAGGCTTAAAAAGTAAGAACTTAAAGCCTTAGGAGGAAAGGAAAAGATGACAATAGTTGCTTAGCAGGAAAGGCAAAGGCAACACAGTAGAGGTGAGAAAGAAGCCAACAGGACTAGCAAAGAAATGGGATTAGCGTGCAAAATCACAGGAAATAGTGAAAATTGGTTGGTGAAAATAGCAAGATTCACATCAACAGAAACATTGTGAAGTTATAGGCTGTGAAATGGTTATCGGTGACAACAACATGAGGAGATAATAGTGAGTAGTACTTAGCAATTCTCATTATGGTAGTGATCCTAAACTTCGCATGTGCTGATTTGAATTCAATGGGTTGAGTTGATTGCATACTGTAATGAGATAGACCTATCAATTTGTTCAAAATATTAGTGAAAACACTGCATTCGTATACGAGTCGATATTTTAGGCATTGTTTTACACAATAACTAAAAATAAAATAGTGGTTATATTTTCTGTAATGTAATCAAGAAGTCCCAGGTTCAAGCTAGGAAACCACCCTTCTATGAATGAAGCAGTAAGGCTATGTACATTAATCCCTCAACAAACCTTTTATTGGCAATAGCTCCATACATTGGATGCACCTTACTCTTTTATTATGATTTATGTTTTTTTTAACATTCATGCAAAGATGAGAAATATGTTGGAAAAAAGTGTTTTAATGATCTAGTGTTTGTTAAGTCCAATCAAACTTTGAAAAGAACAATTAGTTTATGTTGTATTGATGAAAGTTGTAAATGGATAATTAGTAAAATTGTGGATGCTGGGGAGGATCATTTAATTAATTAAGACTTCCTTAGAGATGAGTTTGGGAGGTGCAAGGAGGAACTTTGAAAATTTTAGTTCTAATGGGAGGAGTAACAGAAGAGTAGCTTTATCCTCATTAAGTTATAGTATAAGAAAGTCTACAAATGCTTTTATTGTATTCAAGGAGGAGAGGATGATGAATAAGCAGAAGCAGAGGAAGGTTTGAAGAAGAATTTTTGCTAGAGGGAGAGAGAGAATATTTGAATAAAAGAATGCTGATTTTTCAATGAAGTTTGGGAAAATTTCTCTTAATCAAAATAAAGAAAATAATACAGATTAAAAATAGTTGCAATGGTGGAGAATCACAAAAATATAAGACAGCTAATTCCCATAGAAATAAACAAAATAAATTATAAAGTTTCTTTGGTAGCTGGAAAACGGATAGCTGCACTTTGACGATAGAAGCCTTCTTGCTGGAACCATTGAAAATTAAAAAAATGCAAGAAAGGTGATATCAAATCAAAGAACCTATCATCCTTAGTCTTATTAGAGAAACATTAAGCATTTTGTTCACTTCAATTAATTCAAATTGATGCTAAAAAGAAAATGTCCGAGCAATCAATGAAGTTCTTAATACATGTGTCCATTGGAGTAGGAAATAATTCTTTGACGTTTCTGACTCCCTTTTGAATATTGAACAACTTATGAAGTCTTCACTAAATCTTGCTAATAATCCAACAACTGAACGAAATGCAAAAATCATCTTAGGGTTAAGCTTTACATGTACAGCTATTAATTATATTGCGAAGACCCCACAGATTATGAAGAAGAGTTTGCTAACATTTTCCTTTGAAGATAAAATGCAAGCAAGAAAAGAAATTTTTTGTGGAACAAAAGGATTCCAAATCCAACAAAAAAATGATTTATTCATCCATCCAAAATAAAGGACGGATTATAAGGACTTAATTGAGAATATTCATTGCTACTTGGATATCATAAGTTGAATTGAAAGAAATTATATTGATGAATGGAAGAAGGGAAGAAAAATCGGCTGACTGTAAACTTTCCAATAAACAAATGAACGGTGACCTTCAAGCTAGTGAGAACTGGTAGAAAGTGTATCGCTTCTAGAATAAACAAAGAGGCTATAAAATGTTGTAACAAGATGAGCTTCATCCGTCCATATTTTTTTTTTAGCTTCATCCGTCCATTTTTTTTTTTAGCTTCATCCGTCCATATATTTCTCTAGAAATCAATATATTTCGCATTGGTAATGCTTCATTTATTATTGATAACGAAAGGCTGAATCACTCGTTTAACACCTTCAATAAAGTTTGACAACTTAAATGCTTCTTAAAACAGAAATTTAGGTGTTTGATTCCAAAAATATTATTTCCTAATTTTGCCAGCAAATGACAGACTTTTGATAAGAAAAGACATCCAAATCCACTTCATTAGACTAGGATCTTTAAATACATTTCTATTTCTTCAAGTTCCCAAGTTCAATAGCTATACTTCTAACTTGTTAACTTCAAGCATTTTCATCATTTTTTGCCTTCCAAAAGATGACAAAAATAATTGAAGGGGATGCAGGTTGGCACAGGTTTGATAAAAGTGAACGAGCAACCTTAGAAAGAAAGTTACCCTTCTAAGTGAAAGTTTAGATCAAAAGTTTTCATGAATAGGATTCCACAGGAAATTTTGAAGTCTTTTAGTCCCTGAGTTACGCCAAGGTACTTGACAGGAACCTTGTTAAGTAAACAACCCATTAAACTAGCCACTTCCATAATTAAGAAAACAGCTTTTGTCTCTACTAGCGCCTCATGTAAAACAGTGAATATTTTTTGTAAGTTAATCTTAAATCTAGAAACATTCTCAAACAAAAGGAGAATATTTTCGAGAGTGAGAGCTTGAGAAGTAGCTGCCCCACATAAGATTAGAGTGTCATCAGCATATTGAATACTTAAGATTGGGTTATGGTCCTTGTTATAAGAGCACTTGATGGGGACATCAGATCATTATGGAAAGTTTACCAGCGACGTGGCCGCCGATCTACGGCCACGATCTAGTCTTTATATTTTTGAGTCGATGTATTTTATTTTCATGCATTTTATTATTTGCTTATGTGTGTTTTATTATTTCCCGTTGTACCCCTTTTTATGGGAGTTGTCATGTGTAAGCCTAAGGGCATTTGTGTCATTTTATTTGGAGTCTTTTGTATGAGGCTATTTAAAGCCCCCTTTGTATTATTTTGAGGTAAGGAATGATTATCGAGATTTCTTCCTGCACTTGTGTTTTATGAGAGCTTTTGAGAGTTCTTAGAGAGCTTTGGAGAGATCCCTTGGAGAGGGAGATTGGCGCATCACCCACCAACCTTGGAGACAGCCGGGTTCGTGGTTTTACCTTCTTTATCTTATCATCACCTCATCGTCGAACTTCCCCACCCTCCACTTCTCACCGCCGGCCATCTCCCCGACCCTTCCCCTCTCCCAAACCTCACGGTCTCCCTTTACCTGAGAAACTCCCACCTTGCTGCCTACCATAACCCCATAAGCCGTCGGCCACAGCTCCTTGCCGCCGACCATTACCCTTCATTCCCCCTTTGATTTGTTTCCTATTTCGTTTTTGGTATATTTTGGAATACAATTGAATTTGAATTCAAAGTATTTGAATTTCAAAATACTTCCTAATATACTAATTCTATTTTAGGAAAGTATTTGAATGAGATCCCTTTGAGTATCTTCATTCAATTGGATTTAATTTTAAACTTTCCTAATCTTAGAGCTTAATTTAGGAAGCTCTAATTAATTCCCCTAATTGCTCCCTCCCACATGCATGCCGCCTGCCCCCTTTCCTATCCCATTAAGCTTTTGAATTATTTCCTAATCTAATCAGGAAATAATTTGAAATCAACCGTAAATCTCTCTTGACCGAATTTCTTATTCCTCCTGCTTGGGTTGATTGGTTTCCTAAGTGGACCAACATTTTAAGAAAGAAATCAATTCTTCCCTAATCCCTTCTCTGTTTGCCGCCCAACATCCGTCCCCCTCTCAGACCCGTCACCTCTCATCCCCCATCTCCACCTGATCTCATGAGGCTAAGTCTTGGGCTGCCTTGAAGTCCTTTCCTCCAGCCCTTTTTCTTCACATCCAAAATCTGAGAATTCCCTCAGATTTTTGGAAGTAAAGTCCGACCAAAATTTCAGATTTTGAGACCAATTCTTGGAAGAAGATCCCCAATCCATTAACAAGAAAGATCTATTTCACCTCGTGACTATTCAAGAGACGTATCTTATTTGCATCGAAGGGAGTCATGGACGGAGACATTGAAGACAACGAGTGACGGATCTCTACGTCCCCTTAAGCAAAGGTTCTCTCCTTTCTACTTGTACTCAATTTCTTCTAACTCTAAATTCTCAATCGGTTGATTGTAATCATGAAAGCTCTTTCACTTGCTTTTGCCAAACCTAGTCATTTGTAGGAATTGAGTGTAACCTTCTATGCATCCTACATCTCATTGTTAGATTAGGGATTAACTTGAAACTACTATTTTGTAATGCTTTATTTTCTTAGTTATCTTGAATGTTCAAAATTTGGCGCATGTGATTTAGCCTATGCAAGATCAACTCCCTCAGTGTTTGACTCGCCGTGAATAATTGCTAGTAAATTTAAATCCGAACTTATTCTAATCAACGAGTTGTGCAAAGCCTAAGTGAAACATAAACATCGCTTCTAAGTAGTCCTGCATCATCTGGTATCAGAGCATGGCATGCTCTTGCATGTTTTAGGATTCCTGGTAGTTTTACTTTGCATTGCATCTTTGCAATTTAGCATTTGGGCAATTGGTAGTTTGCTATCCTCTATTTTTCCACTTGCATTTGGCATCATTTTGTGCGTGTTTTCATTTTGTTTTGCTGTCCTTTACATCTTAG